AAGGCCAATAGATAGGGATGGTTTTAGATTACGTAGTGCCTTTTCTACATTATCTTCTGTAAAGTCAATATGTAGTAGATCATTGCAGTTAATTGTGGTACAACTAGGAAATGTGGGGCATGTGCTATCGCTGTTTACAAAGACTGAACTGAAGAATATGTTGAAGAGATTGGCCTTAATGGCATCATTGCCGCAGACTTTCCTGTTTGGTCCTTTTAGGGGTGGTGTGGTACTTGAGTCCTTAAATTTGGTGTTTACAAAATTGTAGAAGGCGTGGGTGGATTTTGTGTGTAGGAGGTTTTCTTCTTGCCTGCAGTAGTAATTGGTGAATTCTGCCTTTATCTGTCGGCATAAGGTATTGTATTGATTTTTAAAGTTTGCTACATAGCTAGTTTTGTTTTTACACCATAGCGATTTTTTTTATTGAAGTTTCCTTATTGTTATGGGTAATTTGTTTTTGCTTTTGTTTTGGGGGGGTACTAATGGTACATATAGTTTAATGACTCTTTCAAGTTCAAGAAAGAATGCATTATAATGGTCTTCTGTAGTATTACAGCTAGAGACAATGTGCCAATTAAGAAATGATAAGTCAGCAGCTATGAAATCACAGTTGGCTTTTTTGAAGTTGTATTTGATGAGCCCCCTACCCTTCGGGAGCACTGCTGTTCAACAACGCCGGATGCCTCCTTTCATCTAGTGCCGGCCGCTGTCCTGCTGATCATGGTGGCATCTTCCAAGGGGCTAGCTGTGTAATAGAAGGCTGTGAGCAGTGGCGAAAGACTCCGGAGGCTGTTGGTGATGATGTGGTGCATTGCGATGCTCTGGACAGACACTACAATGGCAGCTGCTAATGGCCTTGTTCGGACTTTAAGGATAGGGAGGGCAAACAGGATGATTGTCTCTGGGGCTGCAATAACAATGCCTCTAGGGCTGTAATTGCTGTTAATTGCTCAGGGCTCATCATGAGAGAGGGAGGGGCTGCTGATCATTATTCAGTACTACCAACAGTCTGAGTGGAGTTGAGGTAATGCTGGCCAAGATTGCATCAGCAACCTCCTTGGGAGCGTCAGGAAGACGGGTGGTGGGAGGTTATGGGGTTAATGAGATAATAATAACATGGGTGTGTATAAACGGGAAGAGGAATTGTTACTCTGTGAGGCTGTTTTTGTGAGGGCATTGTTTCTATTTGCCCCATTTCAAACCTGTTGCCTAACCATAGCCATCATTGACAATAAATCTTCATCACGACGTCTGGTATGTAGTGTTACTTGTAAGTAACTATGGTTCTGGTCCTAAGGGCTTTGAGAGTATTTTGTGGATTCATCATTATGTTCCTCTTTGTGAGGGTGTAAGTTGAGACAAAAGTCAATCATACTGTGGTCATTGTTTGAAAAGGGTTCTTGTATTTGTAGGCGATAGATTGAGTTTGAGCTGTTGCAGAAGATGAGGTTGAAGCAGTTGTTGAGTCTAATGTTGTTAGTTACTAATTGATCCAGTCCCAGTGTAGTAATGGCATTGTACAGGGTTGCATGTGTGGGTTCTGATGTACATTCGTTTAGGATCCAATTTATAAAAGATAGATTGAGGCCACCATGGAAAATAAGAGGGTGTGGGCAAGAGGCAGTCCACGTTAGCAGTGAGGTTAGCTTGTTTGCATGAACTATGTCATAATCTGGGGCTCTGTAGCATAGTAAGAAGCGGATTGTGGTATTTAAGGATAGTTCACAGACAATGGTTTCTGGAAGGTGTTAATTTGTATGATTTTAATCTTTTTTAGATTTAGGGACTTTTTATAAAAGATAGAAACTCCACCTCCTCTACAGATTTACATGGTGATTGAGGGCAAGCAATGTTGGAGATTTTTCTTCAAGATGAGTTTTTCTACTGTGAAATATAACTATATATCACATTCCTATGGATATACTGTTTTTCTTCAGAGAGGAACAACTTTATCAGTTAAATGGGATGGTTAGGATAATTTTCCTTGTGTTTCTAGCAACAAAATGAACAAAAGCCTCATTCGAACATTCAAAAATCACAATGCTGACTATATGAACACTTCAGTTATAATTGCCTGCCACCAATGTCATTCAAATAGCAAAAGATTCCTTGTTGTCCAAGTATGTGTTGTGTATAATTATCTACAAGAAAATAAGGAGATTTAACTCTGTGGTACAGTTGAATTCATGCTAGTCTGCAAAAGTCAAAAGTAAAGAATAAAATATTTTTTATTTTCCTTCCTGATATCATATATCTTAAATTAACCTCCCCAATGGCATAGAAAACAGGATAAAATGAAGGCAATTACTGACAATAATGCATTCACCAATTTTATTGCTACTGGATACTTTTACTACTTATCTTGAAAGAGATTAAATCAATCATTGCTTATTTTTATTATATCTCTTTACCTGTTCAGAAATAGTAGATATTTAAAAAAAAACTTTTAAAATTTTATTAAGAAAGCATAACAGCAATAAAAATAATAATAGAATAATGATAATACAATAAAGAATTATATATATAATAGTGATAAAAATAAATTTGGTGAAGAAACTATAGAACACAAAAAACCCCACTGTTACAACATTACTGCTGTTGGATTTATTATCAAATCTTTTTAAATATATAATGCAAGATCATATATAGAAACAATGTTCATATTTTTTGCATATGAAGACATATCAAAAATTAATAAAGAAAACATATCTTGAATCCATTCTTTCACAACTGGAATAATAGATTTCCTTCCTTCCAGTTTGGTCTAGTGGTTAAGGGACAGGCTAGAAAGGAAGAGACGGTGTGTTCAAATCCAACCTTAGCCATGAAAGCCAGTCACTTTCTCTTAGCCCAACTCACCTCACCGGATGGTTACTGTGGGGAAAATAAGAGGAGAAAAGTTGTTGGATATGTTCACCACCTAGAATTATTTGTAAAAATAATAATAGTGGAATATAAATAGATAAAATAATACATATTATAATACTCATAAACTCATGTATTCGGAAGATGAGGAGGAGGTGGAATTGGGAATGCCTTCCTCTCCGGCAATGCCTTCCTCCCTGATTATGCCTCAGGTTTCCGCAGATAACCGAGAGAGACATCCTGAGGCTAATCAGGAGGAGGAGGAGGGCATATCGGAACAGCCTTTGACAGAGAATCAAGCAGATGAATGCTGGCTTGATGCTAGGCAACGTCGCAGGAAAAAGTGTGAGATGCAACGCAGGAGACATGGATGAATCAGAGACTGAGCTGAGTTAGTGACACACCCCACAGGGAATAAAAGTAGGTGTGTTTGCTCTGGGAACTCCGTACGGGACAAAGTGTGAATTTTTCTGTGGAGCTTCGGTGTATCCTGTTTCTTGAAAACTTTAGTGATTAATGCTTCTGTTATCTTGTCGGACTTGGCAGGCAGCGTGTGTGATACTGCCAAGAACATAGCCAGCTCAAAGGAATTAACTCAGTAAATACTGAATCTTCTTGCTTGCTTGTATTTGGTCGGAGTTTGGACTTCTCATCTATCTTGTGAAGGTGAGACATAACACATACATACATGCTAAATGGTAACAAATTCATTTGAACCCATCCAAAAGACTTCCTAAGATCTTACCTCATCTCAGTGGAGATGGGGATTCTAAAATATTTTCTATGGCAGTTTGTGACTCTCCAAAGAGGCATGGTGGAACTCATGAAATGTTAAACACCTCATCATTTGATCTTACATGAAAATGAAAACAGTCTTGTGAGAAAAAACAGATTTGAAGCATGCTGAGATAAACTAATTCTACTTTATTGCAAAGTTACATTAATATTGCAAGCTGAAAATACATTTCTCTTCCATCTTCTTTATAGCTCCCCCCCCCCCAAAAAAAAAACCCTAGAAAGTGTCTCTCCTGAAATGTTGGCTACACCCACATTCTGTGGGTTAACCTTCTCTTATATTCCACAATCACATTATTCCTTAATTGTGGCTCTTTCTCAAGTCTCCTAATGTCATTCCCCCATTATATTTACATACAGGATTTTGCAAATTCAAAACTGTTAAACTAATGTTTAGGAATCATGTAATAACCTGACATCTGTGAATTTTCTATATTAAAGATTTTGTTTTAAGTCCTATGTAAACAAAGTATACAGTATGTACTGCCAATGGATTGCTCTTGGGCCCTGACATTTGAGACCCATTAATTATGAAACTTGAGAAGCGGACTTATTCAAATGATGCCTTCTTCTCCCACTTTAATTCTTTTCCATATTAAATGCACAAAATATACAGCAGCTTTTTCACTTGGCAATTCACAACTCAGGATTTTGAGTATTGACCAATTTGAGAAACTATCTGGAAGCTATTCCAAATATCATTAGCAGATTGGTCAACAAACATAGAGGCTAGGATTCTCTGATCCTTTTGGTTATTCGGGTTTGTCGTATTTTGTAATAATACTCCTAACATGTGAGTTCTCTGCACACAAAACTACTTTATTTTTCTTAACTCCTCCTTTCCGGTTCCTTCTTACTGTGACACCTCAAAATATGTCCCTCACTACTCTCTGTCTAACATTGGTTCCTCTTCACAGTTAAACATCAACATGTTCCATTTACCCTACACCACAGGATCCAGAGTGTCAAGGAGGCAAATCCAGAAGGCTTCAGATGTTTCATCTTCTTTGTATACTATGTGTTATAATTCAAACTATTTTAATGGTTTCTGTCCCAACTCCTGAAGTGCTTATAGTAAATTTTCCTTACCTTTGGAGTATCATCTATGAATCACATCATTGTAGTTGCATGTAAGGCAGTTTACTGACCAGTTTACATTTGTGCTACCTGTCCAAGGGACTGGGTTTTATACTGTTTCATCAGTTTTTTGTCAAATAACTTGTAGAACTTGTCCTTTATGAGGAAAGTATTGATTACTTGCATCATATTCTTCCAGGAAGACAATGAGACAGATATTCAGTAATAATGACTATATTTACTTATTTATTTTTCTTCCTCAGAATGGAATCCACTGAAAAATGTGAAGCTGTAATTCAACATTTTAATGGAAAATACCTGAAAACACCACCAGGTGTGCCAGGTAAGCATTGTCTTCCACTGTTCATTCAATGAAAGATCAATAAAAGGACGGAACTCTGGGGCTGTAAGGTCCTAAAGAATAAATTTCTATTTCCATATACAGTTAGGAGTTATTGCTTGTTTAATGAGGTATCCATAGATCAGGAAAATTTATCACATGTTTAGCTTATCAATTTGCATGCATTCCTATTCCTCAGGTAAACTATTGGTGATTTAAGTATTTAATAGCTGATGTGAATTTTATGAATTTACATGTATTATGCATTTATTTTCTATATATTACTCAAGCTGAGATAAACAGTTATATGGAATAGACATCTGTTGGTTGCCAAACCTGAAGGCATTCTCAAAATGTTTTGATTTTAAAAATTAAACCAAAAACTGAACTTTTACACATTATTACTTTGAATGTTTAATGCAGTTGTAATTTATAGTGACATGCATTATTGTAGCATTAATACAAAATAATTAATGATAATTAATGGAAAAAATAGACTTACTTTTTTATAAGTAATTACACCTAATATTTGGATCTCTTTTCTTTCTTTTTTTTGCTAATCAGTTTTCTTTTCACTTTTTGTCACTTTTAGTTTATGTTAAATCAAAACACTTGAACAATAGTAGTTGATACTAGTTTATTGTATTTCAAGAGACCTGTCTCCTGAATACTTAATTTGTCTTGATGTAAGTTATGTTCTTTTAAAATTTGATTTAATATGCAGTAAAAGGGGGAGAGGAAAGATTCAAGAAAAACATGAAAGCAAGAGAAAAAAGACAAAAATGTATACATAAAAGGCAGTTCCAGTTTTAAACAAAGTTTTGTTTGATCATTAAATTTATATGTCATCCATCTCTTCAATAAAGTGCTTGTTGATGAGTTACTTTTTATCTGTAAAAAGATAACTAGAAAACCAGATAAAACTTTAAAACTGTGTATTAAAGAAAAATAATACCAGGAAACAATAGAAAAATACCAGGAAACAATAGAAAATGGTTTTGCATCAAGAATCTCTGATGGTGATATGTGAAAAGTATTTCAACAAGGCAGTATTAAAAGTTAATCAGATGAAATAGTAGTGGCTATGTTCTCATTAGGTCAGTACACAACCAGTTTATCAGCAGAGAACAAACATATTATCACTAGAATGATATGATATTTCCAGTACAAAAAAGTGATATTTTTGTTTTACCCATGTTCAATAAATCCTTAATTTTTCATATGGTAAATTCCATAACTTTGGCCTATAATTCAGAATCTGTTCTACTTTTTTAAAACTATGTATTCTTTTATAAATGCTATTAATATTCTAATGAGTATTAAACCAAAACAGAAGGTTAGTGTGGCAAGGCTATATCATATGAGCAAATAACCCTGAACAATTTTATATTTCTAATTAAATAGTCAGAAAGCATTTTCTAAAGACTAAAACCAGAGGTGGTATTCAGCAGGTTCTGACTAGTTCTGGAGAACCAGTAGTGGAAATTTTGAGTAGTTCACAGAATTGACAAATACTACCTCTGACTCGAAATTTTATAGTACTTCCCCTGCCACGCCCACCAAGCCACGCTCACAGAACCGGTAGTAAAAAAAATTGAATCCTATCACTGACTAAAACAGTGAAAAAATGTTGATTTACACTCATCTCATGATTGTAACAATATTAATACAGGTGACACTTGGAATTGGGACCAGAATTGTCATTACTAAGAGATATAGTTATAAAGCATGATATCACATGATTGCATTGCTTAGCAATGGCAATTCTTGCTAATGTCATTAAGTGAGAACTGTACAGGTCATTCAGCAATGATCTCACATGACTACAACTTTTACCATTTTCTCCATTGATCTTGGTTTTTGAAAGCTGCCAAGGAAAATCAGAAATCACAATGATGTGACTGTAGCTCATTGAAATGTGATCATTGTAAGCCAAGATTATGATCACATAGCTACAGGGCTAAGTCAACTGCTGGAAATTTAAGAACCTTTCTTGAGTATTCTTCATTTAGCAGTGTTATAATTTTGAATGACCACTCAGAGTATGACCATATTCTGAGGACTGCCTATAGGCAATATTTTTAATAATGTTAATATTATAATTCTAATATGATATATTCCTATTCTTTATTCCTAAGTTTTTTCAAATAACTAATATCTTCTTTAACAATACTTTTTAGTTGTTCGTAGAAAATACTATATTTTTGGAATTGCTCAACATATTTCAAGGCTGACACTAATTTGGGAATTTTAAATGCTCCTACTGCACGCTGGATCAAAGTATGAACTCAAAATATATATTGATTGAGTATACTGCCATTGAAAGAATTGTTGTGCTTTAAATAAATAAAACTTGATTGACAATTAGCTAATCTGCATATTGATAAAAATGTATTCTTTCAAAATACTGACATCACTTTATTGCAAGGTTTACAGCAACCCATCTCTTTAATTCCCTGGATTTTATGGTAGGAATCATATTAGAACTTCAACTCTTTGATGAAGAGAGGCTAGATGGAGTTTGAATCTAAAAAACACTAGCCACTTTCCAAATAACTGTTTCCAATTCCTTTATTAAAATTTTAAATTCAAGAAAGATGAGTATGAAAGTTGCATTTATAACAAAAATAAAAATTACTGTCCAATTGACATTAACACTTACTTATTGTCAGTATATGAGAGTTCATGAATTGGAATAGACATGATAACAAGTCAGCCAATGGTAACTATCTGGTGACTAAGAAACAGCACCTGTTGTGAGTCAGATGGCTTGGAGACTGAGCGTGGTGGCTTCGGGTTACTGGTCTGTATATAAGAGTTAGTTTCTCTGTAATCTTGCTTCTGTGTTTATATTGCTTCTGTGATTATGACTTCTGGATTCTGAGTTCTGGTTCTGGGTATTGTATACATGCATCATATTTTATATTATTGTATATAAACAAGTTTCTTCTACAAATGAATCATGCTGAATTATTTACTTGTGTGCTGGTTGGATTGCTGCAAACTCTGACAGGTTATGGGCCACAGTAAGACTGAACTGTAATCAAACTGATGGATTGCTTGCAGGGGTGGGATTCAAAATTTTTAACAACCGGTTCTGTGGGCATGGCTTAGTTGGTGGGTGTGGCTTGGTAGTCATGTGACTGGGTGGACGTGGCTTGGTGGTCATGTGACTGGGTGGACGTGGCCAACTCAATATCACTCACATCAAGGCACGCATCTCCTCGCCTGGTGTCTCATGACTATGGGGATGCTGCAACAGTCGTAAGTGTGAAAAATGGTCATGTCACTTTTTTCAGTGCCATTGTAACTTTGAGTGGTCATGCCACACAAGCAAAGTACCAGCAAAGGAGGGGGAAAAAACTCCAGAGACGTTCCTGAGACAGGAAGTCTAGTCCTGCCAAGAATGTAATAAGGGTTAACGGAGAGGCAGTTTCTGTAAGCAACACCAGAATGTTTCCTTCCTGCCTTCCTTACAGGATTAGGCCAGTAATTTCTTCTAACAACTGGTTCTCCAAACTGCTTAGAATGTTAACAACCGGTTCTAGCGAATAGGTGCAAACTGGTAGAATCCCACCCCTGATTGCTTGTGTTAAAAAAGTAAAAGGAACAAGGCAGAGAGGCTTGCAGGATGGTTGTTGAATTCAAGTAGAGGTCTCTGCCTCGTTTGGGACAGAAAAACAATATTATTTGGGCTGGAAAAATGAAATGTTTCCTGAAGGCTAAGGAGCTTTGAGATATTGTTATTAATCCACCCCAGGCACCATTAGCAGCAGCAGATCAAAGGCAACATGATAAGGCACTGGCCTATATCATCTTAAGTTTAGAAGATGAACAATTTTTGATTGTAGCTGATTTAAAGATTGCAAATGAGATTTGGCTGAAATTGAGAAATGTGCATGTGAGTGCATGAGCATGCAATTGTGCAATTATGGAGACAATTATAAAAGAGCCTGGTTGAACCACAAGAGAGTGTAGAGAGGCATTTGTTGCATAGGCAAACTTTATTTATTGAGTGTGGAATGAAGATTCCTGAATCTCAGAGGGTGCTGTTGGTGTTAAATTGTCTTAATGAAATGTGGGACATTGTTTCAGCAGTTTTTGAGTGCAAACCAGAACAAGACTTACAAATGCAAGCTCTAAAAGCCTGTTTGGTTCCAGAAGAAAACAAACACCATTTTAAGAAAAGGCAACCAGGAGAAATTCCTTCCCCTCCTCCAAGTTTTTTTATTTTATTCTACATATACACATCAATGCATCAACAGTGTGGCACCTAAACATCATACATTTTAGTGCAAACAAAAATAGCAACATTAATCATATCTCTTACATTCATCAAACTTATATAATTCTAATGTTAATACACATTTTTGTATTAAGTTATAGTCCTTCATTATTTAATTATTCAATATTCCAGTACATTCTTCTAATGCCAATCACCGTATTGTTTAAACATATATGATAATTTCATTATTCAGTTTCTTCTTTTGTTTTTATACATATATTTTATAAAAACATATCTTTTGGCGAGCAGTGTGGTTCCAGGTTTTTACATTTCAATACAAACATGACCATAGTTACATATTCACATTTCTAATTCAATTTCATATCACATTATTACTTATTCTATTTTCTTTTAAATATTCTCAAATATTAAATTCATTAAACTTATTTTATCCAATTTCAGTTTATATCTTAAGTTATTTCATTTTTTAAAAAAATATTCTCATATCTTACTTTACAATATTATCTGAAATTCTTATTTCATTTCTATATTGATTACACATATTACTTTTATCTGTCATATTTGCAATTTTATCACATACTATTCCATTTATTATTCAATAATTCCATCTTTGTTCTAATAGTTCTACAAATTGTCCCCTTTGGTTGTCAATTCGAGCTTACCACCTATTTACCTTGTACTTTCCCTCCATTTATTCCCTTTAATTCATTATAAAAATTTACTATAGTGCAGTCATTTTTTATTTTATTTTATTTTT